CTTTGACAATCCATCCTAACAAGCATTTATTAAGTTCCTACTCTATGCAAGGCAGGCGAAAAGTGCTGCAGGCTACAGAGGCAATAAAGAAAACCAATCCTTGCTTCCAAGGGGCTCCCGTTACTGAGGGGGGGGTGGAGGAAGCAGTAAGAACACGGGCACAGATGAGCATAGAACTGAATGTTGGGGGAAGACAAAGCACTACCAAGAAAGGGGGCCATGCTCCAAAGGAGAGGCAGCTCTCCACATGTGCCCAGTGCAAGGAGCTGGCTCCATTGACCAACATACAGTAACTTATAGATGCTTCTCAGTCACAGATGCAGTAACAGGTTTTACAGGCCAAATAAAGCCCAGGGCTGCCTTAGGTTGGGCATGGCTGTGACCTTGAGCATGTCATCTCCTTGGGGCCTTGGTTTCTCCAACTACAGAAAGAAAGGTTTTACCTAGAGGACCTTTTCCAGTTCCCTTTAATCTTAATATCTTCCCTCTGAAACTTCCTCCAATTTAATTCTGCATTAAACTAATTTGGACAAAGTTGTTCATATGCTTTTTCCCCCATTAGACGTGGAGCTCCTTGAGAACAGACATTTTCTTTTTTTTTCTTCTTCTTCTTTCCTTTCTTTGTATCCCCAGGCTTAACACAGTATCTGGCACATAGTAGGCACTTAAGAAATGTTTATTGATTGATGACCTCTAAGGCAGCTAGGCACTAGGCCTGGAGTCAGGAAGACTCATTTCCCTGAGTTCAAATCTGACCTCAGACACTAACTGTGTGACCCTGGGCAAGTCATGTAACCTCGTCCGCCTTAGTTTCTTCTTCTGTAAAATAAGCTGGAGAAGGAAATGGCAAACCACTCCAATATCTGTGCCAAAAAAACTCTAAAAGGGGTCATGAAGAGTTGGACAGGTCTGAAATGACTAAATATCAACAACAATAACAACAAGGTCCCCTGGGTCTATGAAACATAGCTTCAAAGGTATGAACACAAAAGGTAGAACTCAGCAAGGATTATTTGCAATTCTTGCTTTGAGCTGGGGTTGTTAAAAAGCCACAAACAATAAGCATCTATGCACTTTTTCTCTGGAATGGGTTTTAGCCCCTAAGGTATTCGTTGCTGCACAGGCTGCTAGACTGAGGTTCAGTGCATCTAATTACGACTAAAAACAAGCAGGCTATTCTTTGAATCTCTTCAGGAGAAAAAATGGAGAAATAAAATATTTACCCATGAAAGCCATATGACTTCAAACATCAAACTGAATGGTTCCCTTTGTGAAGAACAAGCAAATGAACTCCAAGGATGCTTAAAATAGGGGAAGTTGTGATGATGATGATGATGATGATGACAATGTGCGTGTGTTCATGTGTGCATATGTGTGTGTGTTTTCTGGGTTTTCTGGGGGTGCATATTTGTTTTTCTTTTACAATATATTAACTAAAGTAACTAATATATTATCTTTGAGCACTGAACTTTACTGCTTATTAATGAAGGCTTCAATCTTTTCTAGAAAACACAGATCTCAGTATTTCCCAGACCACTCCATTGAGTCTCAACTGAGCACAAGAGGAAGGTGTCTTTTGTGGCATACCTGCATCAACTGCTGTGACAATCAAGTGAGCTAATGGATGTAAAGCACTTTTCAGACCTTGAAGCACCACTTAAATGATAGTTATTAAGCATAGTGGGGAGGCAGATGGCTTGGAGGCCAGGAAGACATGAGTTCAATATCTGCCTCAAACATGCTAAGTGGGTGACCCTGGGCAAGACACTCAACCTCTCAGTGCCCCCCTCCCAGTTAATTCTTAAAAAAAAAAACCACTTTATCCATCTATCTATCTATCTATCTATCTATCTATCTATCTATCTATCTATCTATCTATCTATCTATCTAGGAGGCCATTGGGGTTAAGTGACTTGCCCAGGGTCACACAGCTAGGAAGCTGATTTGAACTCAGGTCCTCCTGACTCCAGGGCTAATGTTCTATCCCTCAGTTAATTCTTGAAGATGATAAACTGCAGAGAAAATACCCCTCCCTATCACTAGAGGGGATTTCCTCCCTTGGGAGTACTCTATACTAAAGAAATCCTAGCTATGGTCCCTAATCTCACCCCATGATTTCATCCATGTGGGAACTCTCTTCACCAAGGCTGATATAACCCATCAGTAGCTTCCTAAGCCTTAGAGAACCGTATGAGGTACAAAAAGATTGAACAACTTGCCCATGATCACAGAGCTTTGCATCAGAATGAATGTTTGAAGCCAGTGATTACAACTCCATCCTGCTTCTCACTACAGTAATACACTAAGTTAATTCAGGATTCTACCCCTTCATAACTTGTATTTTTCATTTTTGCTGGAACTCAATTTTTTTTTTAACAACCCAAGTCTTTATAGATATTGAGAAATAACCGTGTTGACAATATGTGGCAATGATGTTTACAACAGCTAAGAAGGCAAAGGTTTTATGAGAACATTCAAAACCTTTAGGGGCACCCATATCCAGAAAAAATTGTGATCATTGTGATCATAAACAGTGTGATAAAAGTCATTGTTGCCTACCAAGAAAAGTTTGCTTTAAGATGTCAATCTCCCAATTGCTCTTAAAGTCTTAGTACGTCATGAGTACTTTCCGGACCCAAAAAATTCACCACCTGGTAGTGTACCTTCTGGGAATGAACCTCTCAGAACTTAGTGAGGTTTGTTCAAACACATATTGGACCTATTCTGCACAACTTTCCAGCTTGATAGGACTTTCAGAACTTACAAAGCCACTGGCATCAGTGACTTTCCATGACAGGAGGCATCAGTTTGGGAGAGGGGAACTCATAGGCATTAATTGTGTATTATCAAATTAATTTACTGATTGGTTTCCCTGATTCTAGTATCCAATCCATTCTCCACACAATCAATATCCCCCAAACTGAGCTCTGAATATGTTACTCTCTCACCAGAAAATCTTCATTGGTTCCCAAGTGTTCTAGGATAAAATACAGATTCCTTAAACTGGCATTTAAAGCCCTCTATCTTCTTTTTCAGTCTATTTTCATATTATTCCCCTTCCTTCACTCTGTTTTACTCCAAATGGCCTGCTAGCTGATCCCAGTATGAGACACACTATCTCTGCTCCTAGTGGCTTTCCATATCTGGAATGCACTTCTTTCTCCCTTCTGTCTTATAAGAGATCCCTATTTCCTTTAAAATACATATTCTCATATACCTGGATTCCCCAATTATTAATAATCTCTCCTTCAAATTACTTCATATTATTTGGATAGACTTTGTATTCAATTACCCTGTGTGCATGTTACATTCCTTTCTTCTCACAGTAGTTCATAAGCTTCTTAAAAGTGGGAAATGTTTGCTTATTTATTTTTCTTCTTTCTTTTGCTTTTGTATTCTTATTCGATTTTCCTTTCACATTTATTTTACGCTTGGATCTCATCTTCAGTTAGCATAATCATTAAACTGAAAGACCCTGGTCACCCCAATATTAAAAAAAGGACAGCTCTACTAGATTACCTCTAAAATCCTTTACAGGTATAGTACTGGAGGCCCTGGGATAATAATAACTGACATTTCTACAGCAGTAGAAACTTTTCGGTTATATATATATATATATATATATATATATATATATATATATATAAAATTTATATGTGTGTAGGTGTACATATACATATACATCAGATCTTTGGAGTTTGACAACTCTGGTTATATTACAGTTATTATTATTCCCATTTTCTACATGGGCAATCTGAGGCTCAGGGAACTTAAATGATTTCCATCTGATGGCATAACCAGTAAGTAGCAGAGGCTGGATCAGAATCCACATCTTGCCAAATCTAAGCCTACCACTCCATTGGCCATACCAGGATGCCTCTCTATCTGGGATATTTGAGTGCTAACTCATTCTCCAACTACTTGCTCAGCATCTTTGAACAAATGCGTAATTTCTGCATCAGGTTTGTAAATTGGTATAACAAAGTCTGCCTCTCCCAGGAGAATGTTGGGAAGAGAAGAAGTACTTTGAATTCTTTGGGACAAAATTATTGTATAATAGACTGGATTGGTTCTGTTCAGGAATTTTTTTTTTTCACTTAAAGAAATAGCAAGTTGGAAGATTGCTGAAGTACATTAAAACAAAGGCATTCTTAAAAATTCATTTCTTAAGAAGAACATTTTGCACATCTTCTACAATCCAAGGCCCAAAGGATCTGGACTTTCTTATTGAGATGAAGGAGTTCAGGAGTGAATCATATTGTCACGTGAGTCCCTATTTACTCTCCATGTAATTCTCTATTTAGATGTGATAAATCACTAATTCCTGACCCTGAATTCTGATTCCATCAATTATAACCAAGATTGTAACTTTGGTCATAGGATCATAAATTGTGAGCTGAAGAAGACTTCAGAGACGCAGTCCTCTAAAGATGAGGAAACTGCGGTCTAGAGAAGGTTACATAGGTAACAAGTAAGCAGATCAAGGATTGGAACTCAGGTCCTGTGACTCCAACTTCAGCACTCTTTGCACCAGTTCATGATGCAGTAGTGACTTCTCCAAGTTCACAAGGTCAATAAATAGCAAAGCCACGTCTCAGAATCTAAGTCTTCTTACTGCTTGTTAAATTGAATCTCTAGTCATTTCGTAAAAAGGCTCTGCTCCCCAGAAAAGGGCTCAGTCAGAGGCAGCACAGTCCAATGAGAAGAACTCCTGCTTTAGAGTTAGAATACCAGGTCTCAAATCTCAGCTCTGCTACTGAATATCTGCATGACTTTGGACAAGTCAATTAACATCTCTGTATCTCAGTTTCTTCAGCTTCAAAATGGGAGGTTTAGACTAGATGAACTCTAAAGGCCCTTCTCCCTCTAACATTTTATGATCTTGATTTCTACAAATAACAATCAAGGAAACTGAGTACCATTAAGTAAAGTAAATTCAACATAGATTAAAAAAAAAAAAACAGAAGTCAGAAAAATCAATCCTTTGGGAAACAGAATACCTTTCACTTGATTGCAGGACCTCATCTCCTTTCTTCCAGGAGCAATGTGCCTTGGGAGATGCCTTTGGTTTACAATCAAATATAACCAGGCTGCCTATTTGAACCTGAATCAGCTTCTTCATTGGGTTCTTAGAAAAGTCTGGAGCAGACGCTGATGACAAAGAAAGAATAGAAAAGAAAAACAGCTCAAAATGATTTTATTTTTAAGTTAATTTTACAAATTTTAGTTTGAAGATGAATGGCAAGGTTGTAGAATCACTATGTGGGTCCAGCTTTTACACACCACTCCACCCTTGCAAATATATTGACGCCTTTGCCATTGTAGAAAACACATTTACCAATAACTTTGCAGTTGCTATCCCAATTCTAAAAGCAAATACCTAGAATACCAAAATGCAATAGAATAGTGACAAGAATCAACTAATCAAACAAACAACCAAACAATCAATCAAACAAGAAGGATTAATTATGTTCCTAGTAGTGCCAGGCACTGTTTGGCATGAAGGATTAAAATTTAAAAAAGAAAAAGAAAAAAGAAATCTCTAAGGGACCAAAGGTAAATTAGGGTTAAGAAATACAATTTAAGATAAACCAGGAATTGTTCCATATCCTAACTGGTGAAAAATTATCTTCAAATATATCAGTATAGTTTTTTTTTTTAAACAAGGGTTTGGATTGTAGAAGGCACTAGCAGGGAGAAAAAGTGGATTGTGAATTGAAAACATTAAATCAAATTTTTAAATATCCATATACTTCCTACAACTATTCCTTATTTTTAGTGGACTATGATTTCTTTTGTATAAGGAACTCCCAGTGAAGAAAGTCCCTCTACCTATGCAAATCAGCAATGTTCTGCAACTTAGAGTTTAAAGGTTGTCTAGAGCAGCAATTAATTATGGCTTCTTAATGAGAGTGCCTAGAATAGAGTCTCTCTTTGATAATTAAGGGCCTCAGGGTCATTATTCTGGATATAAATTATCTTTGCATGTCACTGTAGATCAGAGAATGATAGGATTTAGAAATGGAAGGGATTTTAGATGGAGAAAGCAGAATACCATAGATTGAATCCACTGGTCTCATGGCGTATCTTAGAATTTTGCTTTGACTGATTTTTTTCTAAATCTTTGATTGTTCAGTCTGCCACTAAGTTTATTTAATTTCCCCTAAAATAAAAGGCAGAAGCATTTTTTGTGTAGCAAAAACACTGGAAGCAGACTAAGTGCCTATTCAGCGACTTGGGACAGGTGAACAAATTGTAAGAGATTAAGGTAATGTGAAAAATTGTCACAATATTCATAGAAATGACAAATATGAGGAGTTTAGAGAAACACAGTTAGACCTGTATGAGTGAATATCAGACAAAAGTAACCAGAAACAGGAGATCACAAAATAAAATGCCTACAATAATGTATATTAAAAACAATGCTAAAAGCAAGGTGAGAGCGTACCTGATGTGGCTTGTAGTATCACTGGATCACAAGTTTTAGGTCTGACAGAGACCTAAAAGGATCATCTGATTCAATTTGGTCAAAAAATGTTAAGCATCTTGCCCAAGGTCAAATAGATAAGAAGTGGCCCTATATTATTGCCATCAATGAATGAAAAGATTACTATGGAGGTAGATTTGGTTATACAGTTTTCTTTGTTACAATGGGTGTGTGTGTGTGTGTGTGTGTGTGTGTGTGTGTGTGTGTGTGTTTGTGCATGAGAGAGAGCAAGAGCGAGGGTGAGAGAGAGAGAGAGGGAGAGAGAGGTAGAAGATGAGGGGGAAATGACTACGGTCTAAAAACAAAAAAAATAAAATAAAATAAAATAATAAACTAGGGAAAAATCAAGGGAAAACAATTGAGTATCCTGCTCAGTTGAGTTCTGGTTAACTGAAATTTTACTCCTACTATCTATGTCTGTAACTGTCTATGATGATATTGTCTATGATATGAGACATAGTTTCTCAAAGACGAAGAGAACATTGCCTTCACATCCTATAATTAGTATTCATCTTTGGATTTCTCTCCAAGTCACTGTTTCTACTACTGTTCCGTCATTAATAATTTAGCTGCGTATTCTCGCTTCAAAGCAATGAATGATCAGGCCGTAAATATCCTGGATTTTTATAGCACATGAGTTAGAGCTGTTACCAAACACTTCACTGCAATGGATTAAAAAGAGAGATTTATAATACCTTAGTCCATAGTCACATTTGAAAGGGTTAACAAATTAAGATGATAAACCTGTAGCATGAAAAGCATTTTTTTTTAAAATACAAAGAAAATGCATCTTACCAACAACTTTGAGTTCCGCGCTGGAATAGACGAGCCCATGTTTGTTTTCTGCTATGCACTGGTACATGCCAGAATCATTCACGTTTAGGTCTGCTATTGAAAGGGCCCCATTTTCTAGCTGTACTCTCTCCTAGGCAACGGAGGGGAAATGTCTTTATCACAGTATGCTTTAACAAAATAAAAACAAGAACCTTTGAAAACTTTACCTTGGATCTAATCTATCCCAGATTTCTCTCATTTATAAACTTACACAAGATCACCAAAGCATCTCCTTTGACTGTGTAAATTGACTCGAGTTCTCGTTTAAACCAGGAAGCCAATTAACCTTTTGCCAATGAATTGGAACTGGTCCTCTGAAGCACTAATACAGATATAACAGCCTAAAAGTGAGCAGGCCCTACAACCCATAAAGCACGATCTAGGAATACATGGCATAGACTGGTGACATTCCGACTAATTTTCCTGTCTCATTAATGTCCCCAACTTCCAAATAGAAAGTGCCACAAGCTTCAGCATTCCTATTCAGGCAAGGAGTAAGGAGTTTCTTTGCTATTCTTTCAACATGCAAGTTGAAGGCTGGGTAAAAACTAGGTACATGGAACAAAAGATACTTAACTATGGAGACCATGAATATTTATCAAGGTGTTTATGGAGTGTGAAATATAGACAAGTGCTATGCCTGAGGAGCTGAAGGAGCAAGGTTGGGTTAGCACTAAAAGCAAACACCCCAGCATAATTAAAAAGTGCATAGAATAAGTGGTTGAGAAAACAAATGCCAAAGTATAGGAATTGCTGAGTGATAGACATATTAATTTCTGCTGCAATCCAGCTAAGGGATAGGACTGGAGAAGGAAAATATGTATTTATTCTTCATTACTGGTCGAATTACTACAAGCTAGTAGACTCTTTATAGAAAGCAGTCTGTAGTTTGCAGGAAAAGTCACAAAATTGATGATCCTCTCTGACCTAATAATGATATTGTTGGAATTATAACCTGAGTATGTTCTTTACAGCAAGTAGTGCTACCTGCTCAAAGATATTTATAACAGCAGTCAATTCAATTTAAAAGAATGTTCATTAAGATCCTATTTTGTGCAAAGCACTGTACCAGATGGCATCAGTTCTAATTTCAAAAATTAAAATAAAAAACACCAAGAATTTAAAAGAAATAGGAAGGTGTACATAATTGATGTGCAGTTTCTTGTACAATCATCTTTTTTTCTACTATACTATGTTATAAAAATGCCTGTTTTATTTCTTAAGTTCAGAACAAAATGGATAAAAAAAAGAACACCTTAATGCCTCTGACTATATTATGATAAAAAAAAATGACTAACAAATGCTTTGATTTTTCTGCGCAGACTTATAATTTCATAGGTGAGCAAATCTACTCTATCGATGCTGATGAACAATAACTCTGCAGGTTATGGTTTTAAATTATTGCCTGGGATCCTGAGAGATGAAGCCACTTGCTCAACTCATAGCAAGGATGTAGCAGAAGCAGATCTTCAGAAGAAGATTCTATCTGAATCTAACATTGCCTTCTACGTACGTTACCTCTTCAAAGATATTATGACACATTACCCAAATGGGTACTATAATGCCATCATGATTAAATATAAACCATATGGAGGAATGTGGGAATACCTTTGTGAAATAACACTAAGCAAAGAAAAAAAAAAGATGAGGTTCACGTTAACTCTAATTACTGGAGCGAAAATGGAAAAACAGAATATTGATTCACTTCAGTCTAAATTCTTATGAATGCATTTTATATGTAGGAATGCATTTAGGTAATTCAAGTAATTACAAAGCAAGTTGAATGGGTTGTATTAATGTTTTATATTAAGTTTATGGTAAATATTTTTATTAAACACATTTTATGTTGGAGATTTAAATCAATAATTTAGAATCATATCCTTCTCATAAGCTTATTTGAGTAAAGACCTCGGTCTTGACGGGGCAAACCCTTGCTTTCATATCCTGCCTACTTATTGAAGTGTAAGCAAAAACCTGAGAAAAATCAACAGTTTTGAGCAACCACTTCCCTAGTAAAGCTTCCAGAAACCATTTAATGTGACAGGAGGGAAGATGAGTCAATCCACTTTACCTCCACCACCAGGCCATCTCCGTTCTTCAGCCATCTGTAGGATGGCTTAGGTTTACCACTTGCCCGGCATTCCCAGTACAAATTGTCCTCCACGGCAGCTTCTACATCCTTTATCATCTGAACCCAGTGAGGTTTTGCTGCAACCCCCCCCCCCAAAAAAAGAAGAATTAATATTCAAATGAAATTTCAAAAACTTATTGTGGGAAATACTCAAGATCACAAATAATAGGTGAAAAGAAGTACAGAGCACATAGATTACAATTTATTCTCACACTTCCACATACAGCAAGAAATTCACAGCTTTTTCTCAAGAATTATACTAATCCTTCTGAATTCATCCTAATTTAATCATTTATATTTTCTAAAATGTTAAATGCCAAAATAATATTCATGTGAGTGTTCAAAGTGGGGCAACTCAGAGTCATGACCTCATTTGAAGACATCGGGGGTCCTAGTTTGGTTTTTCTTCTTTCTCCTTCATTCCTAACAATTACAAGGTGGCAAGAAAGACATGAAGCAATAGAATGAGAACCCAGTGACTTTCCTAAATTTTACAGGTTTTTAGGAAGTAGTCACATATACTTTCTACTCTTGGGTTGCTGCCCAATGCTTTTTGGAATCATTGCTGTGGAAAGGGAAGAAGAGAAGGGACACAGGATCCATCTTGATGTTTCTGTGTCCCTTATCATTGGACAGTTGAATGATGCACTGTCAAATTAAATTAAAGCTGTGATGGTTGATCTAAAACCTACTCTAATTAACCCACGCAAATGACATTAAATCATCAGAGAGAAGAGAATTTTCTTTTCTCCTCTGTTTCTGCTTGTCTCATAATTATTTGTTGGGTTCTATTACATAAAATCCCCCTACATGTGTGCCTGACATCTACCAGAAGATAGATGTGCTGATAGCTAGACTTGACTTTTCTTCCCAAAGGGATTTTGAACTGCAAGATCACAGTGAGTGACAACTTACAATTCATTGCTTGAATGGCGGCAGATATCAGTCTTAATTATGCACTTAGATTTAACATCCATAGGGAAGAAACTTCTATAGCTCAAGAAAAGTATTTCCCCCAAGTTAGAAATAACTCTTAATTAAATGCAAGCCAGAGAACACTTTTCTTACCTCTGTATGAATTAAAATCAAAGGAGGAAAAACAGACAGATCAGCAGAATTTGAATGATATGATTTTTTTTTCCCCTCAAGGGGAGAAGGAAAAAAAGTAACTCATAACTTTAAATCAGGTATGCAAATCACATAGATCACACATCTCCCTCTTTCCCCCTTACAGGGGGTATTTGGATAATTTTTTTTTTTTGAGAGAGAGGAGTACAACAAGACAGAAATAATGCAAGTCATTCAATAAAAACAGCACATTGTGGCAAGCCTCAGCTCGGGCTTCAGATCCAGCCCTGGTAGGTGAGGAGGCTTATTGGCTTCACATTGCATTATGCATGTACTATGTACTGTGGGATTCACATTTGCATCCTGCATGTGGAGAAACAGTTTATGCATTTTCTCTTAATTGCAACCAAGGGAAGATGTCTTTCTATTTCTATTTTATAAGATTCCTTTTTGCAAATTAAATCAAAATGGAACCATTGCTATATAGCTTTTGGGACCAACTGAGAAGGCTGAAGTTGTATTTTGGTTTTTTTGTTTGTGATTCATTTGAAAATTGACTGTTGCCCACCTTGGACTGCTGACACTCAGTTCTCACCATGTCTGTCATTGGAGTGCATTAATGCCACATTAATATTAAATACAACACACATATTATATGAAGCACCACCAGAAAGGCTGCTTGAAAAGCAGGAAATAAAGTAATACTAGAAATAGAAATAATAATAATATAATAAATATACTAAAATAACAGATATGATACATTAAATATAATAAAATTATACCTAACAATATTCATATACACATAGAATGTTAATAAATGCGTATCACTCCATTTACGCATCTTAAGTACAAAGCAGCATTGGATTTAATTCAATAATGAGAACTCTACCTGCCTTCCTGAGTAACCTCTTCTTTTTCTCCTATAAGTTAACCTACTTCAGAGGTAGAACGGTCCTGCTGTCTCTGTGTGTCTGTGTGTGCACGCGCTACTGACATTTCTTTATGTATTGAACTATTGACAGTGTTTACTGACTAACTTTCTCTTTCCTCAAGAAGCCTTTACAAATTAAGTTTTAAAAAGTTACCACCATTCATCTCCTCCCTCCCACCCCTTACCTGCTACACTGGCTCCTCACCATCCACAGGAAAGCCCCCACAAGAGACCATTCTCTGGAGGAATTTTTGCCCTCAGGCTCCACTCTCCTGATCCATAACTACATCCCCTGCAATATTATTCTGGGAAAATCCCAGACATGCTTCCTCTTATTGCTTCCTCTCAGTTCCTCCACAGTTTTCTCACCTACCACCTTGATAACCTTTAGTCACTCCCTTTTCACATTTCCTTTTCCTACTCTCCCACCAAGAACCCACCAAATAAACGCTGCCACCATTATTGCGTAGGCAGTGGTAACATACTTCCCTTTGCCCCACTCACTATCCTGATAATTTTCAAGTTCCTCTCCCTGGCCTTCAGTCCCCTAAGTGTATAATTTCCACCATTAGAAAGTGAGCTCCTCAAGAAAATGTCTTTGCTTTTTTATATATATTTACATCCCCAACACTTAGCCCAATGCTTGGCACACTGCAAATATTTAATTAATTTTTATTCATTTATCTATTCAGCAATACCTCATGTCTAGGTAGTGGATAGAGTGGTAGGCCTGGAGACAGGAAGATCTGAGTTCAAGTTCAAGTCTGAAACACTAGCTGTGTGACCCTGGGCAAGTCACTTAACCTTGTTCATTCACCTCAGTTTCCTCATCTGTAAAATGAGCTGGAGAAGGAAATGGCAAACCGCTCCAGTATCTTCGCCAAAAAAACCTCAAATGGGGTCATGAAGAGTCAAATATGACTGAACAACAACAGTGTGTCTGGGTCTTCCTCAGACCTAGCCAAATATGTTGAATTTCTTTATGTGCTGTCTTCCTCACTAGAAGCACCTGTGTCTAAGGCAAACTATAAAACCAATGAATAGTCTCTTTTCCTAAAGTCTTCTTAAGTGATTACTTATCACTATCTTTTTCTTGTTCCTCAGGGAGTTCAATTAACTCTTCTATGGACAATATATGGTTGGTATAAATTGTTATTATAGAACTCTGTGACTCGTATCAATCTATAATTTGTAAGTTGCCCAATCTTTTAACAAAATGACAAGGAATAGATGTCCATCTATCTGCTAATCCATGGGTTTCTTGAACCCCAAGGTTTCTCAGCAAAACACTTACCTGGCTAACGAAGCTGAACGTCACAGCTTTGTCTACTCCTTTCAGAATTCTTCTGAGTTAAGGTGACAGTTAATGGGTAAGCTTTCTTCAATTTCTCTCTCAATTGCAAAGTGGATTGATTTTTTTTTGTAACTATATTCTTTTTCACCCTCTGAGGCTCCAAGGCACAAGTCAATGGGTACTTGTAGTTCACGTCCAAACATTAGTAAATATGATATAAAATCTTTGGGGTCATCTCCGGGAGAGTGGTAGGCATATGCTACTCCACTGAGATTTGTGTTTACACTTTAATGTTTCCATCAATGTCCAAAGGAAACATTAGGTTATGGTTATACTACTTAGAATAGGGGCTATTTGTTGTTGTTTTTTTTCCTTTTCTTTCTTTGTATCACCAGTTCTTAGCACAGTGTCTGAGATGTAGTAAGCACTCAATAAATGCTTACTAACTGATGAGGATTTCTTCATTATAGTGAGGTGTAGTTCTTGTTTAGTTAATTATAATAATTACAACAATAATAATAGGTAACATTTATATAGCACTTCCTGTATGATAGGCACTGTTCTAAGCAGTTTAAAATTCTTATGTCATTTGATCCTCACAATAACCTTGGGAGTTAGGCACTATTATTATCCCCATTTTACACATGAAGAACCTGAGGCAGACAGAGGTTATGTGACTTGCCCAGGTACACACAGATATTAAGTGTCTGAGGCTGGATTTGAACACACGTCTTCCTGACTCCAGGTCCTATCCACTGTGTCATCTAGCTGCCCTAATAATTACCAAAGCCAAGGTTTCCTTAAAGCATTTGCTTTCAAAGCCTCTTCCATGTTCAAAATGAATCTTGGAAGGGAGACCAAATATTGAAAATAATAACAATATCAATAATACTAAAAAGATAATAATGGATACAATTTATATAGAGCCTTAAGGTTTATTAAGTTTGTTACATACATTATCTCATTTGATCAATTCCTCTGCCATGATACTTCAGCAATTATGGAACCTTTTATTTATTTCTGCTTAGATAGGCCTGTGCATATCTGGTGAAATGCTCAGTCACTATGAAATTATAGCTCATGCTTACTTTCTCCTTTCAGTGTTAAAAAGTCTGTACAGATGAACTCCAAAGGTTTGCTAGTGTTTATATTCTCCCAGTATAGTGTAAGAGTTGGTGGTACTTTTCTTTGTATGCAACCAGTACAAACCTCACCCGTCGCTGTGATATCTGCAATCATTGTGGGCTAGTGAAATCTGATCTTTATTAGTTCTAAAATACTCTTCTAACCCATATGTTTGAAGTCATCATGTTGAGTTCTTACAGCCTTAACATGATATGCTTTAGGTCGCACCAACTTCTTCTGAATATAGTAGAGGTACTCTACAGTAGACACAGTTGCCCAACTCCAATCTCTGCCATTATGTCAATACCTCACCATCTTTCCTTAGCTATTTTTTCTCTTTGCCAGTCATCCATGGCAAACTGAGCCAAAAGATTTGGTATAAGCTCATACAGATGACCCAAACTCACAGATATAGTTCTATCTGACAGTAATTACACTTCTTGGGAATCCTTGGGTATAAATTTCATTTCTTCCTTAAGTAGTGCCATGGTGGGGAAAATGTGACATGACTGAGGAAACAAAGGTTTGATCTTCCCAAACGTAATTATTTATTAAGTAATACATGTCAATTGCCCAACGAACCAGGACCAGACATCCTCAGTTTAGGCCTGGACCCCAAATACAGGGGGAGAGGGATTTTTATGCATTAAAAGCAATTA